ACGCCCTGCTGTATTCCAAAGGATGCTTCTGAAATCGATGGATGATGCCATTGCCACTGCGAGAGCTATCTCGGTCACAGCGAATGACGAAGAAGAAGCCAGGAAATTCCTTGTTGGAGAAGATAAAGTCTTGACCTTCGACTTCGCGGCAGTGGATAGATCCTAACTCGGTCTGCGGAAAAGAAGAACATGTCAGAGTAAGGACGATGGAGGATGGTAGCAATATATAGCTTTGAGCACCTGGACCAACTGCAGCACGTGATATAGGATTTCTTACCGGCTCTTGATCTATTGTCTCGGACAACCACTTTGAGTTGTCTAGGCGAGGGCGCTTCTCAATTCTCTTCTCAGATAAGCTCAGTTTGTCTGTTTCGGTAGACCCTAGAGGCCGCTTGTCTTTTCTGCGAGTTATGGAGTCGTCTATGTGTCTCTGCGGTGTTATTGTTCGGCTGGGAGGTCTGTTTGTCTTCTCTGAGACGGCACCATCAATTTCATCAGTCTCCCCTGGCACTGAATTCTGCTGTTCTCGAGTTTGTGGCTCCTCTTTGACATCTTTAGTGCGCCAGGGAAACGGCCATTGGCTGATGGACGGGGGGGACGCGGGCGTTGGAGGCCCGCTGTCGGCTGGGTCCTCTGGGACAGTGATCACCGGCGCATCTTGAGGTGGAACGAATGGAGGTACTTGCGAATCCTCTGGACCATCGTGACAGTACTTTGCTCGGATCTGGCGCGTCAGACCTCTCACGAGCCTGGATATCATGACGGTCTCCTCGGGCATGATCTCTTCAGCCCCGGCCTCCCTAACGTCGACAGCAATCCTTCGCAGCGCAATGGAGTACTCTGTCAGCCCCTGCTCGATCTGGTGAGTGATGTGACTCTTGAAGTGCTCTTGCGCGCCTCTGATGGAGTCCTGCCAGTAATCCTCCTTTTGCTTCTGGATCTGAGCTTGTAATGCCCGCTGGCGGCTCCGATGTATGTTCTCCCAGTTCTCCATTTTGACAGTAGAGGAATCCACCGGTGACTAGAGGTGGTTCCAGGAGTAGATTATCGCAGGTGGTAACTTTAGAGACTGAGTTAGAGACTCAGTTAGCGTTTTTGACGGGTCGAGCGGGTCGAGCGGGTCAGAACTCAGATGCTGACGAGAGGTGGAGCCAAATACCTTATCTACCACGAGGTCAACAACAGCTCTGGATACTTGGAATACTGAACGTCAGTTCTGCCCCTTGACAGTCATACAGCGCGAGTCATTGTGCAATGTTGCAGAAATCGATCCAGGATTGCGGGGAATGGTCCAGGTGATACATGTAAGCAAAGTGGCCGTGGGGTTAAACTGGGGTCTCGGTCGTATCTTTGATTGCAAACTTTGGAAAATGCTTGTAGGCCTCCGGGTGGTGAACACAAAACACTTGACACGGGTACATGTAGGGCCAGGGGGGCTGCCAAGCACCTGCCATAGCCTCGCTGGAACCGCTGCGAGGAAAAAGCTTGGAGAAGACGTGCAACTCGATCGAATTGATTCTAGTTTTCTTCTGAGAGCTAGATGCAGTACCAAATTCAATCACCTTGAAACTTGCTGGTAGAGATATGTGATTGATCTATGCGCATGAATGATCGTACATGTACGCCTCCTCGTCAGAACCCAATTGGGAAAGTTGTGTTGGTGCTTGGGGTTTTCCCCACTAAAACCCCTGTCGCCAACTACACCGATCCAACCAATCAGAGCCATTGACCTCAAACCAGACCTGGAGAGCCGTCCTGTGGCCTGCTAGTTTTACCTATCGCCCTTCGACCTCCAATCGCTTAAAAGATAAAACCAAATGCCTCAACACCTAGCTGGGGATATGAGGTGCCAAAGTTGGGTTGGAAAAACGCCTTGCGTCAGGTGCCTAAGTGTGATGACATGTCCCCCAAAGTCCAAACCCTTGCCTGTGTGATAAAATTCTCCCAGCCGCATTCGGCACAGTGCGCAAATATACTAATCGAGACTCCAGATACCGTACGGTCCTCACCATTCAACAAATCCACATTCTACCCGGTAAAGGCCATCAGAGCAAGGAAAAAGATCAAGCCAGATATAGATGAGCAAGTTTGTATTGGCCCAGGCTCTACCCGGGCACAAACACTGATCCATCCTCTTCGTGTGGGTGACCCAGCAACCCCAGCCGGATTATGATAGCTTCGATGTCAGACAAGCCTGTTTCCAGGATAACGTCGACACCCGGCTCGATAGGTGCAGTGATGGCTGGTCGCGGCAATGGGAGAACCACGATATCGGCAACGATCCCAGAGTCGTTTGGGGGAGGGCTAGGAGCTCGAGCTGTTGTTACGTATAACAGTCAGCAAAGGAAACTAGGACAGGATACGGCGTAACGGGAACCTACCAAGTGGTGGCTTGAAATCAAGGCCACCTACACAGACGTGCACCTTGTGTGACTGGGTAGCACACTCGACATAGTCCTCTCGCGACGCTGGGTAGGCCGGTGTCGGGGCCAGAACAGGCTCGCGCCCCCCCTCGGCGGTCTGCACGAGGGCATTGTTTTGTTCCAGCTTCTCCATGACATCGTGGTGCCCGTAGCAGACTGTGATTCCATCGAGATCATCGCCGTTTCCGACAGACGACCCATCCTCGAACGACTCCAGGATGGCACGGGCATTTTGGATCGGTCGAGCCCATAGTTTGATTGTGTGAGGCGAGTCGCCACTCGTCTCCATCCGAATCCTTTCCGGTCTTCGGAACGGAATGCCCTCCGGGAGGAAATCAGCCGCGATCTCTACTCCTTCGGAAAGCCTGCGTCGTTCTGCCAGGCAGAGGCCCTTGCGCTTACGGATAACGCCGAGGCTGGGCAGACGGAGGCCGAGAGGCATTGTTGGAAAGGTCCAGGGAGCCCGGTGGACGACCCCCTCTTGGTCAGGGCTTTCCCATTCTAGGTCGCATGGGCAGATTTCAAGTGAGTGTAGGAGCAGATCGCACATGTCGCATGTCTCCGGCTGCAGGGGTGCATGAGTGTAACCGGCCGAAGACACCAAAGCTGGCAGTGGGATGCCTTCACAGCTCTCGCAAAGGCGTTGTCTTGTCATGGTGATCGAGTTCGAGGGATGGTGGGTATGTTTGAAAAATGGCGAAAAGAGGCGTCCCGGAACAAAATCAAAGGTGTGTCGCGTTGAAAAAGTATGTATTTACTGTAAAGAATAGAGACTTCGCTGACAGATAGGTGATGGGTAGAAACCTGTCTCGAACCTGGGTCTCGACGCTGATGGCGACGATGCTAGATGACGAGAACTGGATGGTTGGGTTGGAGGAAGAAAGGTGGTGGTGTTTCTGTTGAGGAAGAAGTTAGAAGAGCCGAACTTCAGCCTAGAGCAACAACCGCCTTCATCGTCCCTCGCTCCTTCCGTCTTTGTTGATATAGGCAACGAAAACTTGCGCACGAGTATTCGAGAAGCCTTGGCACCTGCCCACCGGGTGGCCCATAGCGAAATCCTTCATGAGTTCAAGCCTCCCGTTTTCGACTCGATTGGCCTTTGATTTCGAAGTCGGATACTCCCAGTCCCGAAAACATATTCGACATCCTTCTCCAAGCAGAATCAGCCACTCAGCCAGCTCGTCGGGGCGTCTGCGGTCTTAGGCCGAGGATGGAGAAAGGAATAGAACGAATCTCGAATCCAGAAAAACGGCCAATATCATTGCGAACGCCGGCAAGCCGCCATCGAGGAGCAGAACGGCCACCGACTTTAGTCTCGAACTCGCAAACCTTCCGAGTGGCCGAGATTCGGAGAAGCATGACTGGAAACGTGGAGCGATATGGCGACCACATTTGAAGAGCGCCGTTCTAGTCTACAACGGTCCTGATTGATGGACCTCGATTCCGATCGGCTGCAAGCAACGGTCAACCGAACATATATACTCATTGTTATTTCGGGGACAGGTGCCTGACAGCTTCGCGGCTTTGGCATTGCCAAGTTTGCCAATGTCCACGGCTTAATTCAAGTTCTAGACAGACTAGAGACCATGCATGGTATTGGTGCAGGAGAAACATAATGGAGCGCGGAGCGCGAGAGAGAAACGGTATGTGGACAATCAAAACACGATTAGGGTCAGCAGGCCAGACGCTCTGGACTCTAGACCCGTCTGAAATCTAGGTCGAGAAAGTAGATATCTCTATTTGTCTCGCTCGATTCTTTTCAGGAAAGGATCATTAACTGACACCCACTTACTTTTCTAGAGAGCACGGATCCAAGGCTGTAAACGAGGACAGCCTTGTTAGTGCTGGCCCCACACGACCTTTGTTTCTTTTATGACCACCATAAATGTCCGAGTTACCCACTACAACAACTGGCCGATTCGTGCTGAAGATTGGTATCGTCGTCGTCGATATGCGGTTCTTCGTATTTCGTAAGATCGGGCTTTCGGGGGTAGAATTCTTCGCAACTGGGACACGGACTTTGTTGGTCCGTCTACTTCCTTGGCAGACATGTATTGGGTTTGGCTGGTCGAGGGAATATATCCAGAGACAATCGCTGGTTGATGCAAGAACTAAATACTCAGGCAGGACTTTTCCTTGCGACGACGATTCTTGGAATGAAAGGGCATATCACTTGGAGAACAGGCCAAGTAAAGGATATTCAGGGACCAATGGCGGTGGTCTGTCCTGGTATCGAGTGCCTCGTTCGGGAGAGATCCGCCTTGCAACCGGCGGCGCAACAAGTGAGTGATCTAAGGTCTGCATGACGTTCGAGACTCTGAGAGATGCATCCCTGGGTTCCACGATCTGGAGTACGAGGCTGATTTGGGACTGACAAGCAAAAACGTCCCCATTTCCGGTCTCTCAGGCCTCTTACTAGCAAGTGGTGCTCGGGAATAGCAGCAGACACCTAAGGCCCAGACCGACCGGCACCAAGTACATAGATATCCAAGAGAGCAAACTCGTCCGAAGTCCCTGACCCCGCATGGTGTATAAGCCAATTTTCGTGACCCCAATTCCGCAAATCAGGCAGAGATTGTCGACCGTGGTGTAGTTGGTAGCACCGCTAGTTCTGTTTAATGTGCCCCCCAGCTGAGCAAAGTGCGAAGCAAACGAACATCGTCAGCAGCAATGTGAAACCGATGTCGTCACGGGGTGGCTCTCTGCCCATACTGAGACTTAACGCCCACTTGGAGGAGTGTAATAACGCCCACTTGGAGTGTTCTGAACGCCCTTGGAGTGTTAAGTTCTTAGTTCGTGCAACAGATACTCAGAGACCTCGGTTCGATTCCGGGCGGTGGCAATCTTTCTCGCTTGATCGGCGGTGGTGCATTCCCTTCTCGACATTATCTGCACTCTTCTTCTTCTTCTTCAGACTCTATTATTTCCCTAGCCCTTCTCTATCGCCTCTTTCCCTTCCGCACTAGCCTGATTTGCATCCTCTTTTTTCTCTCTTTTTTTATAAAAGTCCTTTAAACTGCTTTAATTATCTGACTTTAGGTAAAATATTAAAGTACTCGCGAGCCAAGCCTCAAAACGGCGTTGGCCCCATTGCGTTAGCGATGGGGCTAAGTTCGTTGATTCGATATTGAGTTGCTGATTCGATTATTTTTTTGCCGCATATAATCCTTACCCTATGTAAAAACCAGACTGTTATTTTATAGTATTATAGTGAGATTATAGCTGTACAAGTAAGGTTTTGGGTCAGGGTTAGGGTTATAGGTAGGCAACTCAAGAATAATCGAATCAACGTCAATAATCGAATCAGCGAACTTGGCGTCCTTGCTCCACAAGGACGCCAGCAGCCGTTTTGAGGCTTGGCGAGTACGGGTTTCTTCTTGTTTAAACAATAGTATTTAGATAGTGCTTCTAAAATGGCTAAAAGAAGAGAAGATCTCATTTATTATTCTCTTCTTATATACAAAGTATGAGCTCTACAAATGCAGTATCCTACAGGGTATCACATTATAAGCCTAGGTAAGTTCCTAAACAAAACATCAGAATCATCCAACACATCTTTCATTCTCTTCCGCTTAAGTGGACGATTTTGTCATCTCTTATTAGCTTGTCGGAGCCTCGGACGTCCAGCAGATTTTTGGAAATGGTTAGACCCAGGCCTGTGCCCCCAACTCTTCTGGCTGTGGATGCGTCGCCCTGGCTAAATGGCTCAAAGAGACGCGTGCTGACGTCCTCCTCTATGCCGATTCCCGTGTCTTCGACACCAAACTTGACCTCGATCTGGTCTGCATCTTCTTTTTTCGTTGTCGACTTTTCGGTTTGACCAGCAAGCTCTCGTTATCCCTGTCCTCCAAGCTTGCTATCGGGGATACCACCACTTCCTCTTTCTCCCTTCTGCGCACTGGCAACAACACTGCCTCCTAAGCTCCATGGTCAGAGGATAATAGTTGATCAAAGTCCGCCACACTCGACATCTGCTCCTCTCTAAACGTCCCAAAGGTTCGATAAGCATCCTTCACAGCCTCGGGGTAACCCTCAAGAACATCGCAGAGTGCCCTGACCTCGCCACATCGCTTCTCCATCCATTTCCAGCACTCTCGGCTGACACCTGCTTCCTCGCTGGGCTCCTCGTCACTCTGGAGGTCTGATGTCGATCCGTCAGTCGCAGCGTCACTCTCCTCAGGCACATGCACCTCCTTAAACTCCTTAAGCATCTTCCTGTGCTGCGCGCATGTGACGACAAACTGCTTTAACGCCACCTCGATCAAAATAACCCCTTGCGAAACCTCAGTCAACACTTCAGAAGGCAGACTATACTGATCGCGTCTCAAGTCTGGAATATTCCCATGGCTCTCATGACATCGACCGGTCTCGGTCTCGTCAGATTGTTGCCCGTGAGTAAGTGACCACCAAATCGGCAAAGCCTCCCTCATAGCCTTCACCCCCCAAATAAACACCAGCACGGGCTTGACGTCGGCCAAGCGCGAAAGAACTTCCTTGGTGTGCGTTTCCAAGCCTTTGACATCCCCGCTGAGCTCCTTCAAAAGCTTCTTCAGCTCCCGGCCTTTGGAGGACTTTGCCCAGACTTTTCGGAGGATCATCTCTGCAGTGGAGCGCGTAAAGTCCACGAGCTCGTCATTGAGGGTTTCCTCCAGCTTTACCTCTATCGCCTCGAGGCTTGCGCGGATGGTATCCAACAAGGACTGGTCTTGGTCGCTCATGCTCTTGGCAAAGAACTTGGCCTTCTCTCTGACATATCTGTCCACGGTGAGGAGGAGCAAAAACACGTATGCTAGGCCGAGAGCGCCTAGTATCTCTTGGTGTTCGAGATACGTCTGGTATGTGGTGAGCGTTGGAGGGTGCTCCAGACCCAAGGGCGTGTGCCAGTCGCCGGTCCAGCAGTTCTCGATGGTTGCCCGCTGGAGATTGAGCAGAGTGAGCTGCCAGGCCCGCGCTGATGGCGGGAGGGCTGTGCTGGTGCCGCTGCTGCTGAGGCGGTCGGAGATCGAAGCAGGGTTGGTCTGCTCGGGCTTTAACTCCATTTCCTGACCAGCCAGTTGGTATGAATACAGCTGGGTATAGAATTTGAAGTGCAATCTTTGGATCTTTATTTACCTCGTCGTTCTCCACTTCTACGCTTGTGTTAAAGCAGACACCTGTTTTTGCCCCTGCGGTGTCTTTTTGCTGGGCAGCGCGTTGGCGGAGCGGCTGGCAGCCGAACTGGCGGCGGACGAGGCAGCCACGAACCGGTCGACGCGCGGAACTGCATACGCATTGGGCTTCCGGGCGCGCGAGAGTGTCTTGGTGCTGTGAAATGTCTCCAGGAGGAATTCAACAGCTGTGTCGAATCTGGTCCTGGTCTCCGTCGCCTCTGAAGCCGCGGTCGAGCCTTGGGTAGGGGCTGGGGCAGCCGGGACAGCTGGGGTAGAATCTTCCATGTTGAGCGCCAGGAATTGTTTCAATATATAATATTTGATGAATATCAAACAAAATTAAGAACCGAAAGAATAGGTTATGCTCAAGAAATTGTCGTAAGGTTTGGGAAACAGAGCAGCTGTATGGAGGGGCGCAACTATGGTTTGGGTCCCAAAGCAAAAACACCAACCAAGCAGCGTTCGCAAAGTGGATCCCGTCGATTTGTCAACGCGACCTGGACTCACTTTGTTGGAATTTAATCCTGTCATTACAGCAAGTCATTGTGAGGGGGGAAATTCAAAGAAAGCACGGCCGACTTTGCAGCTTACTGAGGGAAATAGGACTGCGCTTTCTCATTCTTTACTAAAGTTTGTACGATATTCCCTTGTCTCCACACAAAACGCTACGATGCGAGGTTCCTTTGCAGGAAAGTTGCTTTCTTATCTTTACACACTAAGTAATTCAAAGTATTTAGCAGGCGAAGTAGTCGAGAACGTGCCCAATTAACCAATGGACCAAAGGTGAGAATCAGGCTATTCAGCCTTCTCCACTGCAGTCCTCCCCTACTCCGAGAAGTGATTTTCTTTGTTATTGGCATATCATTACTGTTGCCTCGTACTATGAATGTGTCAGTCGCTATTAGATATGTTGACATTTCATGTATGTGGGTAGACCAGTCTCGTCCAACCCATTCGTCCGCGCCTTTATCTGGCTTGCAGAAGCCTCCACCTGGCACTCCGTTGTGGTTTGGACCGCGATCGTTGCTGTTTGTGATAACTGTAGTGGGAACGAAATAACTACTGGGTCTGGTCATGGTCTGTGAAAGCTCGTGACGGTCTTTGGCCGCCGTCTCAAGCGAAAGTGACAAATGGTTATGTTTGGCGGTGGACATGTATACAGATACTGCCAGTAATTGATTGTGTCATTAAGTTGCTGTGGCAATATGATGAGGCGCCTGGGATTCTGGAGCTGCTCTGGTCCTTCGGCCTGGCGGTCCTGTTTTTGGTTCAGCATCACGAATTTCCGTACATCTTCCTATTGGAACCTCCAACTCGGGTAGGCTGCGCGTCCCTGTGACTGCTTCCATTCGGGCACCGTACCGGAAATCAAACTGATGAGGCGATACATATCAATAATTGACAGAATGTTCCTGGACGATCGTGTCGGCAGCAGGGTTCACAATCACGGTTGCGAGGGAACACATGACCCCATGTTATTGCCTCGTCGTTTATTACCTAGTCGAAATCTCGTGGTAAGCAATTCAAACGCACATGTGGGTCCCCTCACCTAGACCATGACCACATAATGGCAGTCGGCAGGCGCGGGGGACACCACAACTCGCTCGTGCCTTCCATGCCCTAACTGGCTCAAGGCAACCACGCACCGGCCACAGTTTTCTCCACCCTCTTCCATTCAAGCCTACAAATTCTTTCCCGCTACTGAAAATTCAAATCCTTTTTCTCTTTATCCTCCGTCCTCTCTTCTCTTTCTATCCTCTATCCTCCATCCACTTCTCTTTCTACCTCTATCCTCCGTCCTCTCCTCTTTCACCATCGAGACATGAATTCACAACACTTTCACTACGACAATTTCACGTCGTTCTCAAGTTCCGGATTTCCCTCGTCAGTCGTTCTCTGCCTCGCCTCAGGGCATGGGGGCCCGCACCTTCAAGGCGACCCGTGAACTGGGAGTTAGCGCTCTTTTCCCTTCTTCAATTCCCGACAGAAACGAGACCAGCTCCGGAGGCGGTCGTTGTCTCCCCACACAACGCCTTATGCGAGGAGTCGTCTATTTATGTGTAAGTATCTTTCCATTTTTCACATCAATCACCAGCAACACATGATGAAAACAAGCGATATTTTTTGTCAGGCAGCCTACAATTTGTTGATGGTTGTCAATGAGAAGAAACAATTGGCAAGATCTGACTCTGTTGATGCTCTTTCCTCTCACTCTCCTTTCGAAACTCGAGTGTCTGTACTAACGGCTTCGGTACTGTCAGAACTCACAACGGAATACTCCCACACGCCTCTGAATATAAGTATCTTTTCATGTTTTATACCAATCACCAACAACACATGATGAAAAGTCATATCGTTTGTCAGGCAGCGTACTAGTTGTTGATGGCTGTCAATGAGAAGAAACAATCGGCAAGATCTGACCGTGTTGACTCTCTTTCCCCCCACACTTCCTCAAACACTTTGACACCATATGACTGACGGCTCTCAAGGTATTTGCACGGCAATCTCACGCTTCTTTGAGTGTAAGTACCTTGCATTTTCATGCACGGATTGGTTCCAACCCATCAAACACATGATGCAGAACAAGAAGAGAGGCTTCGCAGGCAGCCCACATTTGTTGATGGTTGTCAATGAGAACATTTTCTAAGCCAAATCTGACCGTGTTCAAACTCTTCCCTTGTGTCCTTCCTCC